TCATTACCATCGTTGATATTAACATACATTAGCGAAGAAAGCAGAATACCAGTGGAATGCGCGCGCGCGCGTGTGTGCGTGTGGATGAGTTAGAAATTACCCAGATCTTGAATCCATTTTAAACCGACAGTGCAGATGAATGTTACTCAGGAAGGAAAGTCCGCGTTCGACGGATGACCAAGCCGGCAGATCAAATACTTTCGCCAGAGAAGACCCGTTTTCTCTCCCTTTTCTTCGCCTCCAACTCACACACGCACTCACCTTCCTGCTGTTCTAATTAAATCAGACACAGTGCAGTATGAGTGCTTGTTCATGTGTGTGCACATCTTTTTATGTATCAATATATCCAATTGCATTGTCTGCCAATAGTATTTATATCTATTTGTGTGCGTGTGTCTGTTCGAGCGTACGTATGTGTGTGTGTGTGTGATATTAAATCCAACTACATTGCGTAAACAATATTAATGTCACTCGCTGTTTAGACAAGAATCAGCACTGCTTCCAGCGCCTCCTCCGTCTGGCCGCGGACAGACGCCCGACACCGGATCCCACGAACGCAACGCAACGACCAGGAAGACGCACGATTCCCCCTCTTCGCTGCGTCGCTTCTTTCGCTCGAGTTGCTCCACGGCCGACAGGCTTCAGCCGAGCACAAGATGGAAAATATACGTTGCAAAATCTCTCTCTCTCTCTCTCTCTCTCTCTCTCTCTCTCTCTCTCTCTCTCTCTCTCTCTCTCTCTCTCTCTCTCTCTCTCTATTCTTCTAATTAGTGCAGATCGTCAAAATGGAGAGAGAGAGAGAGAGAGAGAGAGATCAAGTACTGAGACAGAGATGGGGAAAGCAATGAAAGTCTCAGAGAGACTGTACGCGCACTCACAATATAATAAGTAAAATGGAGAGATAGAGGGAAAAAATGAAAGAGTGTGAGGGGGAGAGAGAAAAATGGAAAGCGACACGAAGATAAGCGGATGGGGAACATTCAAAGTAAAAAAATGCATTAGGTGGAGGCAATATGACTGGGGGTAGGCTTGGCATGGACAACATTATTACCGTAAATGCAATTTCCTTTACTAGTATTAGCATTATTCCCTGTCACCATTATCATTACTGCTCTTATTATAATTGTTATCATTATCATCATCTCAAGCGAAACACTTGTCCATTTAATGGATGGTTGTCGATGAATAGACATGAGATGACTGCAGTCATATAGACATGAGAATATGAAACAAGTGAGATGAATAGTGTAATAGAGATATTTATTTAAAGCGTAAACGGATGAAGGAATGCAATCATATAACTTATTTAGATCTGTAATGAAAAGAGACATATTACATGTGATCCAGTGATATATTAATAACTTATTACTGCTGACTCCTTTAACGCCAAATTTCGACTAATAAATGTAGAATTGCAATCGAGAATGGCAACACCTGTAAATAAACTATATGGCTCACTGGTAATTTCGAAATACGCATTCTCATGGTATTATCGATTTAGGGGTTTGTGGAGAGTATTGATAATAATGATAATGGTAACAGAAGTGAACATGCCAACAAAATTACAAAACAAAGGAAGAAAATAGCTAATGTCTTATGTTTTCAGGATTTCTCTTTATCTTAATACTTGATTGATATAAAGAAGGAAGATAGGTAGATATTTTCTATTAATTGAATATTTTCGGAAAGTAGTTATTTGAAGGAGCCAAGAAAAGAGGTACTTAAAGGAGGTTGGTAACTTCATTTCATTCTTCTACGGCTGGATAATACATCTTACTCTTTAAGTGAAAGCACACACACACACACACACACACACACACATGTACGCAACATAACATACATAAGTATAACATAAGAATTCTCGTAAAGGCTACATTATAAATTAAGTAAAATCAATTTATATTATATGTTTTTGTGGTGTAGTGGTTAGCATGGTCGCCTCCTACGCGACAGACTCGGGTTCAGTCCCCGACGGATACTAAAAACCTATCTTTGCATGAATTTTTGTTTGTATTTCTATATATTTATCTTCCGTTCCATTTCTATTTCTACTTTTGTTTCTGTACCTTCCTCCGGCGTTTACAATGCGAAGGAATATGAAAGTTTGATTTTGGATTTTTTTATTTGCTTGGTTGTTTGTTAGTGTTTATACGCGTTTTCACTACTTTGCTGTAATATTTGTAATAAGAGAAACAAAGATGAAGGGGGAAGAAGAGGACGAACAAGTGATGAAGAGAAATAAATAAAAATGAAGACGGAGTAGGAAAAAGTGGAAGGAAGGAAAGAGGCAAAAGAAGCATATTTTGTTTTATTAACTTGCTTAGTGTTGTCTTCGTTCCGCTTTGCCTACTTCGGATAAGAAAAACAATTTCGTAGGGGAGAAGAATGATCATTTTTTAGAATAGCTCTATAATTACCAATATATTTGAATGGTTTGTTGTCCCTGTAGTTAACATTGCCTTGAAATAATTAAATTCTACTTATGCTCCGGAATGAAACA